CCTCGAATTGTTGTCCTCGAGCAGGAACTCGTCAGAGCTGAAGCCGAATCATTGGTCGCCGAGGCCCAGCTCTCCAACATTACCCGCGAAAAGCTCAAGGCCGCCTTCAATTACCAGTTTGATGCGATTCGCGAACATTGCGAGAAAGTCGCCATCATTGCTGGCTATGGAAAGCACCTGTTGAGTCTCATCGATGACACTCCGGTCACCCCCGGCGAGACGCGCAATGCGTACGACGGATATGAAGCTTCCAAGGCTATCATTCAGGACTGCGAGGATGCCCTGACCAACTGGGTGTCATCCACGGCCCAAGTTAGCGCGAAGCTTTCCACCCGATCACGAACTCTGAGCCAGAGAAGGAAGGCCAGCTCTCACAAAGGCGAGGGAGTCGATCTCGCAGGTCAAGACCCCCCAATGAAAAACGATCGCGATGGCTGGGTGCCTGCAGGCCAACACGGCGAGTATGAGCAAGAAGAAGAGGAGGAGGAAGAGGAAGAGGAAGAAGAAGAAAGACCACAACAAACCAATGGTGAGTTTCTGGGACCTTGGTGCTTCGATGCGCCGGCTCGCATCAAGAAATTGGACGTGGGAGCCAGGTCGCTAACCTCGGATGCAATAACAGGGCAACACGCCGTGGCCGCTTAGGAGCTGATGGCCATCCCAAACCACCACGAGCCACACTGCGAACGAATCTGGCATGATAAAGGTGTCACGACGATGACGATGAAGATGACGGGGAATGTGGCTGGAGAGGTTTTAAGTGGACGAGATAGCTCCGTGAGGCACCTACTCCGTATTGGATGGCGCAGCAGGAATTCCGGAGTCGATACACGGGCGAGTGGACACAAGCAGACGGATCGTGTCATCGGAGGAATTTGCGCTCCTTTTGTCTCTCTATCTTTTTGAATCCGCGATAATACACCGTCATGGGCGAAATCGTGTGGGGATGCCAAACGTGAGGAAAAGGGAGTCGATGAATGTCAATGTTTGTTCCCGAGCAGTAATAATAATGGATGTAGAATCTGGCGCCTTTGTTGAGGAGGCAATGAAAATGAATGGATCTTTCTTCAGTTTGATGATTACGTACTCGAGCTCATCAGAGCCACACTCTGCCTTGGATTGCCTGTGGGCGTGGCCTGTCATTGATTGATGCCAGGTGGATCGCAGCCCAGTTACAAGTACAAGAATTGTCACCAGTTCGAGTCGCGGGAGAATCACGTGGCATTCAGCTGGAAGGTGATCGCGTGTGCAGCAAACACGCACCACAAGTACGAGTAAAGACATATGTACGAAAATGGCCACCGTCTATAAATAAGAGTCATCACCAATCAATCCCCTTGGTCAGACGCCAGTAGTCCCGCTACGGGACCCTGACAACCCCTGCCACGCCCTGCTTATCCAAGCTAGAGACGAGCACTTGGCACCACAGTTCCTTGTCGTGGTCTTCTGTGGTCCTTTGAGGTCTAAGGCGCTTTCCTCTGATCCTGCTCGCCTAGAACGGCAGGAGGATCACTGGCTTCGATCCTCCTCCCCAGAAGAAATTACTCGTAAGAGAGCAGCAAAGAGGTCCAGCTCTGGCTCGAAACGGAAGCCGCAATTACGGCAGACGACAACTGCCATGTCTGGCCTACATCTTCGCCATCTTACATACCAGCATACCATCACTTACAAACACGGATATAAGGATTTTTAAGAGGACGGGAAGGGCACGGCACATTACGAGGTATCAAACTCCAATATAACCGTACTTGTGCAGGCCACTGATCGTACCACTGATTGTGTCTTACTCGTACAAGTAGTTCAAAGTCGAGCATCGTTTCCCTAGAAGAGCCTTAGTCACGGACAGATTCACCACTTGCGTTTTCCTCTTGTGGAATAATGAGACACAGAAACAAGAGGGGGGAAAGGGAACACATACTGCCGAGTAGTAATAATGATAATGGCCCCCCAATCTGCGCCCATCTTGCGCCAGTCAGCACCACGACGATCACTCCCAGCACATGGAGCAAACGGGGGGATTTCAGCCGCTTGCTGCTTGCTGCGGCTGCGCCATGGCCTCGTGGTGGACTCGCAGGCACAGAAACTACTCCTACGAATACCTCGTATTAATACTCGTACTACTACTTGAGCTTCCCAAAGTTCCCAAGCGTCCAAGTGTCCAAGCGTCCAAGCAACAGCTGAGCCACCAACTCCTCCTCATCCACGGGCTGCTGTGCCACCTGAAAGGAAAATAAGAAGTCTGGACTCATGATGCTTCACGACCTACTCCTCGGACTTTTCCTCACTTGACCTTCAGCTGTTCTACAACAAACTGCTCTTCTTTCTTCTCCTGATTCCCCTCCCTCGGCCACTACGACTCATCTTCATTTTGTACGAATATTACCCATTGCCACCGCTGCTCTCACCATCGCCATCCACTCTCCATCCACCCTGTTAGGATTGGTCCCTGCACGTTATCCGTTTCTGACAACAATTCGCCTATCCTCGAACTGCGCACTGCGGCTGCAAAGCTCCACCTCCACCTAAAACCCTAGCCTGAGTTTCGCTGCGACCGCTAGACTAGCGAGCCTGCAGACTGTTACTGCTACTGCTAAAAAGTTCAAAAACTGCCCCCATAATCTTACGGCCCCCCGATCCAACGACCATCTGTCACATCTCACCGTTGTTCGCCCATTATCTTTCTCTCCTCCCTTTCTTCGGACAGATCAAAAGAAAAGTTGATCTTGTAACCTTTTATTCTTATTCATTTCGAATACCTTGTTGTCACCAAAAGTCTCTCGTTTGCAATTGCATTCGCACTACAAGATCGTAACGGTCTCGAACATTGGCCTCTTTCCCCGCACCCAAAACCGTTTCTCTCCAACAGCCTCAGCTGAACTGAAGTGGAAGGAGCAAACTCGTCTTACTCTCCAGTACACAAACGTCGTCGCAGTCAAGCGAATAGCAGATCAATATGGTCAACGCAGGCCGTGTCTGCTGCATAGCAGCGCCCTTTCTCCTCTCAATAGGTGTACTGGTATGCGTGGTACTGGTCTTCCTTGGGGGTACATATGACCGCAATAAGACACTCGACAATCTATACTTTGTCAAGGTAAGCAGTATTAGAAAGTGGTTCAGGAGCACTCTATCTAACATTTGCGGCCTCTAGATCGACATGACCAACCTCACACTGACGTCCTCCGCAAACCTCCTCGCTGGAGATAACTCCAACAGCACCCTGTTAGGCGGCGCCCTCCAAGCAGCCAAGCAATCCCTGGGTATGAAAGACTACTACACCGTCTACCTGCGCAGCTATTGCAGTTGGAATGGCGACGACACCTATGCAAATTGCACGGACCCGAAATCCTACTTCTGGTTCAACCCGATCAAGATCTGGGGCTTGAACAGCACCGGCGTCCCTGTTGACGACTATCTACCCAAGAGCTTTAGAGACGGAGTGGATGTGTATCATGACGCTTCCAAGGCCATCTTCTACTTGTACATTGGCGCGCTGATTGCCTCGTGCATCACTATCCTTGTGGGCATCTCGGCCATTTTCTCGAGATGGGGTTCTTTCTTTACTACCTTCTGCGCTTCCGCCATGGCGCTCCTTCTCGTTGCAGGATCTATCACCGCCACCGCCGTTTACATCGTCCTAAAGGCCGCCTTGAATAACACTCTGAAGAAGGAATACGGCATTAAGACTACTTTGGGCAGCTCCGTCTTCTCCGTCACCTGGATTGGCAGTGCCTTCGCTGTCGGAGCGGCATTCTTCTGGTTGTTGAGTGTGTGCTGTTGCAGTGGAAGAAGTCCTTACAACCCTGGAAGTAAAGAAGCTAGACGCACAAGAGCAGAGAAGACGCCGTATACGTATGAGAGGGTGGGAAGTCCCTACATGGGCCCAAGTGACCAGCAAAGTGTGCCATTGAACACGCTCGGCCCCCAGCCATATGCGCCGCAAAGAGGTGCCGCTTACGAGCCATTCAGGCCGCAAGGTGTCTGATCACTTTTCCGGGCATCATTTTTGAACAGGATCGGTGTGAGACTTGGTTTCGTTTGAGGCAGGGCTGACTATTGTGGGGTCAGGAAAAAAGGACTCGGAATGATTTGGAGTTGGAGTATATATGCTAGCACTTTGGCGTGCACGACAATCAAGGCATGTAACGATGGAATCAGCGCTGGCTAAAACCAATGTTAAGGGGTTCTATTCTTTCTTTTCTTGACTTGTGTCTTGACTATAACGGGGACAGACAGTACAAAGCCTGCCATCCGGACCACACGGATATTTCGGAGACCAATGCCTATACAAACCTCGATTGGGGTGGTGGTGCCTGGTATTTTTGTGGGTGGGGAGGGAGCGGCTCACGCAGGAGTTATCTGCATGGGCTCGTTGGGCCGGTGGACGTCCGTTGGTTTGTACGGGGTACAAGGTAATGCGCCACACGTGGAAAGCCATGGTTCTGCATGTTGCGATGAAGATGAAAATGAATATGAGCATGTTTGGAGGAGATGAAGATGGAACACGCTTAGAGAAGATCAACCTCAGCTTGCAGAAGAAGAGAAGAAAGAAGGTTAAAAGAATGGAATGTCGAATAGGTATCGAGTGGAGGTACCCTGGATACTAGGTAGGTATGGAGCAAGAATGGAGCAAAGTATAGAGCGAGGAAGGAGTACGGAGTACTTGAGCACTAAGGTATGATACTCTATTATTATATTTTATATTCATGTTAGAGATGTTGTTGAATTGTGATGGTTCTGATTTATTGATGGAGGTATTTCTTTATTTTCTCCCCCTCCTCTCTTCGGTCTCGAGTCTCTTTTTGAATGGGCCTGTCGAACCCAGGGAATTTCATCGTGGAAAAGAATACGCCACGCTCCTGGAGCTATTGAGTACAGGAGGACAAGAGTACAGGAGGACAAGAGTACAGGAGGACAAGAGTACAGTATGAGTATGAACATGTCCATGAACATCTATGGACTATACTGCAGATGCTCGGGATACCTCGTATTGACGTCTGGGTTTACTCGACCACCCCCCTCCACCCTTCACGCGGCTTATATCCCACGAGGTCTTCGTCGTTGGCCACCTCGGCGGCGGTGCGTCCCGTCAGCACGCTGACTTCGACCTCTCTGCCCAAGACGTGAAAGGAGGGAAAGCCGCCCAGGGTCTCTGCGTGGTTTTGTCGTTGTTGTTCTTCTTCCTTTACATTCGGGGACCTGTCGCTTCGGGTTCTCGTCTTTGACGCTGGTTCTGATGCCGATGACACTACTGCCGTCGACGATGGACGTCGTTTTGCTTCGGGTAAAGATGGGGACAAGCGCGGTCGCTCCCATATCTTCCGCCCAAATGCGGTCTGGTTCGTGGGGCGGAAGCCACACGCAGCGCGGTCAAGCGAGAGGAACCACCTGCGTTGGTGGATCGAGTTGATACTGTTGGTTGCGCCGGGGTAAGCGTTGTTGCGGCGGATCCGGGCTTCTTCTTCGTCTTCGTCGTAGTCGTGCTCCGGGTCTGCTTTCGTAGGCTGGCGGGATATCCTAGTTGGTGTGGACTCGTGTACTTGTATGACAGACTCCGAGAGTCTCGGACGTGGTGGAGATGCAGTGCGTAGGAGGGAGGACACACTTCGACGTAGCATGGGAGACCGTCCCGCACGGTGGCGGTGTTGGCGGTCGAGGTCGGAATCTGAGCCTGAGGTCATCTCGGCCGCCACTGGGGATTTTGCTCGGTCTGAATCTGTCGTGTCAAGTTCCTCCGCCCTCAATCTCCGGCGCGCTGAAGCGGTCGAGTTCTGATTGTTCCTTTTCCGTCGCTTAAAGGCCGGTGCCTCGGGTTGTGTAATCCGGTTGTTGTCGTGAGTGAGTCTCAGGCTCAGAGTGTAGTTCCTCGGTAGCCGTGTGCCGTGCAGACGGAGCTTGATCTTGCGATTCTGAAACGCGCGGTGCAGTTTCGATGGCTCCGACTCTGCGTTTTCTCGTGATGTCAAGTCGCTGTCGCTGTCGCTGTCCGCGTCCGAATCCTCGGTGGCTGTTGTGTCGTCCGCAGCGCTGGCCTTACCCGACGAAGACTCATAAGGTAATACTTCATATTCACCAGTATCCCAGAGCAGCATCGTACCCGTCTCATGAGAGGCGGTCTCGATCAGATGGTTCCACAGGTTATGAACTCGAGTCTCGGTAGCGTTGCGGTTCAATCTACTACTGTTCGGGTCACCGGGAAGGCCGTACATGATAGCGAAGCTGATTGAGCTCGTCGCATTACATTGCAACCGGAGATCATAATGGGTTCCTGCTATCGGGTGGTCGTGCTGATGGACAACGAAATGGTGCCCTCTGTCGTTGAGATTTCGACGGTACAGAGCTAGCCAGTCGGAGTGGGAGAGACGAGGTGTTCCTGCGCAGGGTGGACGTGTCGCCGCGAAGAGTTTGGAGGAGAAGAAAGACACATGATCTTGGATTTCAAGTCGACCGGCCTCAACGGCTGCTGTAGTCACCGCCTTAGTAGTCAATAGATTCGTAGAATCGGGATAAGTGTGCGATTTGCGACTCAGGCGCGGCGTCCTAGCGAGGGGAGGGGAGATCGACCGTTGCAGGGAGGATGGTAAAGTGAGATCCGAGTTGGAGATTACCCTTCTGGGGCTTGTTGTTGGTTCGTCTATAGCTGCATCAGGGTTGCGTCTCTTCATCAATGCTGGCTATACAATATCTCACAAATTAATCGACAGCAAGGATCGTCCGAAAGAGGAAAGCCGTAGACTGAGATCCATTTCGGTGTACCAAGCATGATGTCATTCCAAAGCTACAATTCCGCTTGCTGACAAAAAATCCATGTGCACCGCTGGTTGGTTGGCCGCGATTTGCATTCCGTCCTTCTCTTTCGCTTACCCAAGGATTGGATAACCTCTTCCACTCGCTGACCTCGAGCTGTTTACTCCTTCTTGCCTGACCATCGACTTACAAAGTCGACCATAATGCGCCCAAGAGGCTGTTCTCGATGCGTCCACCATGCTCTACCAATAACACCAGGTCTAAGTATATAAGTTTCGTTCCCTCTCGATGTTCTCCAACTTGGCCCATCAAAAAACCACACTCTTCATAACATCAACAGCACTTCTTACAGCAGTCGCAGCGATTTTCATGCTCAGCACCAGCGCAAATACCAATACCATCCACAACACACAAGACCCTATGAGAGCAGCCACCGCGCTGAAAGCAACCATGTCGAACCTATCCCACGCAAAGATCGTCCCCCGCCCTTCCAGCACTCGGGGCGCAGCCAACCATGGCTGGCTCGACACCAAACACACCTTCTCCTTTGCCAGCTGGCACGATCCCAGATACACCCAATTCGGATCGCTGAGGGTATTGAACGAAGATCGCGTCATGCCTGGCGAGGGCTTCCCCACACATTTCCATCAAAACGCCGAAATCTTCTCCTATGTCTTGTCGGGTGAACTGACCCACCGCGATTCGATGCAAAAGAAGGGTGCAGAGTCTCAAGACAAGGACAAATTCTTCCGCCTCCACCGCGGAGATGTGCAGTTCACCACGGGTGGAAGGGGCATTTCTCACAGCGAATACAACGAACACAACAAAGATTGGGTGCACTTTCTCCAGATCTGGGCCCTGCCGTGGAAGAGAAACCTGCCCCCCATCTACCACACCAGCACGTTCTCGGAAGAAGACAAGCGCAAAGATTTTGTCACCATCATCACTCCATTGAAGGCGGGCCCCAAAGCGACACTGGAAGAGGAGAAGGCAGCCATTCCCACCAAGGAGGGCACCATACCCATTCATGCCGATCTTGTCTTCAGTGCAGGCATCATCCCGGTCAACAATGCATTCAATTACCAGGTTGGCGGCGGTGATGTTGTCACGTCCAAATCCGACCGAAAAGTATACATCCACTTACCAGAAACAAAAGGTGGAAAAGCCAAGGTCCGGCTGGACGGACGAGAAGACGCCATTCTTAAGGAAGGAGATGGCGCGTATGTGAGTCATGTCAATGCAGGTGATGTGCTCAAGGTTGAAAGCATTGGCGACGCAGAGGCCGAGGTTGTGGTTATCGACTCGGAGTAAAAGGGATAAAAGGGACACCAAAAGGAAATGGATAAATGGGGAGATTGGAGTACAGGTTTCTTGAGCAGAACATTTATGTAGCGCACAAATTGTCCATGAATACTTGGGATGTCTTGTTCCTAACAATGTCGTTTCTCCCTAGAAAGTGGTGCCTGCGCCCAGCATATCGTTGACACATGGTGTAGAAACTCCATATCAGGGTGAGTCATTGGGAACTCTGTAGGGTCAGGGATCTGCAACTAGCGAGAAGGGTACGTACATTCTCTACCAATAGGTGTTGGAGACGGATGGCAAGGATGGTGGAGGTTGAAGACGGACTCTTGACGCGGAGCTCGCTTCGCCTCCACCGACGACGTAGTTACGAGCGAAAAGCTATCGACCTGCCCAATCTTGTTACGCCTCTCCGAATACGAAATTTATCCTTTCTCTACCGCTATCGTTATACACCCGTCACCTCAGACAGAACCTGGACAATGACTTGACCTGGCTCCAGACAGTTCTCTGGTCACATTTTACAGTTGTTGGTGTTGGTGAAGTTGCATCCTTCCGGCTTTGGCCCTGGCACTAAGAATTCCATCACGTTGCGCTTCTGCCATTAAAAATTCTGCATCGTCTCTCCTCTGCTCAAAACTGGAACATAAAGTCTGCCATACGTCTTCCTGTCATCATAGTCACTGTTTGTGTCGAGTACCATGTCCTGCACATACCTAGCTCTCTAATCGGACCGCATTGGCCTGTCCCATCATGACTGCGCATCATTCGTCAACTTCTGCTGCAGTCTCAATAGCATGTCTGGCTGTTGTCGGCGCCATCTCAATCCCAGCACTTCGTCAGGTCCTCCTGCGCATTCGAGCGAAGAAAGACCATTATCAAGAGCTTTTGGGATCTTATGAGGATAAAGACGGAAAGGCGACGGAGGAATCTCAACGAGCATATTCCGACTTCGTCGTTCGATTGATACTAATCATAATTTCTACCATTGCTTTTCTCGATGCTCTGGGTACCGCAGTACTGACAACTACTCGTCCGCATCTATCTCTTACCGTCGAACAATGGCTTCAATTTGCAACCTGGGTGAGTCTGGCGATTGATACTGCATGGTCGAGAGTCGTAACGTCTAATTTGTTTTAGTTTCTGGTCTTGTTCCAAACTGTTGCCATCTATGTTACACCTTCCTCCAAGCACCGATATCGTCTTGGGATCTTTACAAGCTTCTCCAGCCTGCTCATTGCCATCGCTGTAGCTGTGGAGAATATATCCCTATGGCAGTCGAAAGTCACTCCACTGCCGCGCAACGTCCACCTCACACTATCACTTGTTCAATTCATCTGTGGAATCCTCCTTCTCTTCGCAGGCCTGTCGATTCCTCGGCGGCCTGATGTCTATTGGAATGACAAGGTGGTCGACCGACAAAATACAGTTGCCGCCCTATCAAAGCTCACCTTCTCTTGGGCTTCAGCGATCCTATCGTTTGCGGCCAAGAACAAGGGCCTTGACTATGATGATCTCTATGAGATCGACCACGACACCCGTTCTCGAGAATTAAGAGCCCACTTCGAGGCCGTGGGCCGCAAAGACAAACTCTGGAAGACGCTCTTCTGGGCACACAAATGGTCTTTCATTCAGCAGTGGGTTATACAAGCGACATGTTCCATCACGGATTTTCTACCCCAACTTGCCCTCTACTTTATCCTGCGTACACTTGAAGCCCGAGATGAAGGTGAAGATGTGGCGCTCACGTCATGGCTATTGGTGATCGGCCTTGGTTTGTCCATCACCTTTTCATCCTGGCTCGAGGCTTGGATGTTCTTTATCACATTCATGAAGATCGGCGTGCCAATTTACGAACAACTGTCCGCTGTCGTGTTTGGAAAAGCTATTCGACGAAAAGACGTCAAAGGCACAGGCAAGAAGCAGGAAGGAGAAGAGGCCAAAGGAAATTTGAACGGTGACGTCGTAGTCAACACCGACGCCGGCCACAAGGGAGAAGATCGAACTCCGGAAGAGGACGAAGAGGGAGACTTTCAGAAGTCGAAGCAAAGCACCATCAACTTGGTCGGTGTCGACTCGAAGCGCATCGCGGACTTTGCGACGTTCAACTACGTCTTTCTGGGATCTGCCATCAAATTTATATTTGCCATCGGCTTCTTGTCAAAATTGATAGGACCTATTCCGTTACTCGCTGGACTGGCGGCTCCCGCATTGATCACCCCCATCAACATCATGGCTGCCAAACGATATGCCACTGCCCAAGACGACCTGATGAAATATCGCGATCAGAAGATGGCAGTAGTGACCGAAGCTCTGCAGGGCATCCGTCAAATCAAGTTCAGTGCCCTTGAAAGGGACTGGTACGCAAAGATCCTTGAGACGCGGAGAAGGGAGCTGAAGACCCAATGGCGAGTTTTTGTGTATGACACTACACTGATCAGTATTTGGATTTTCGGACCCGTCATGCTGGCGGCTGTGTCCCTCACGACATACGTGTTGATCTACAAGCAATTGACTGCGTCAGTGGCTTTTACGACCATTTCCGTCTTTGAAGCTATTGAAATGACGTTGGCCGTTATTCCAGAAATGATCACAGATCTTCTCGATGCCATTGTGTCTGCAGGTCGGGTTCAGGAGTACCTCGACGCGCCCGAAAGAATCGACGGCACCAAGCCTGGAGACACTGTGGTCTTCAAAGACGCTACAATTTCTTGGCCATCGGACAACCCAGACAACGAGGAAGGCCAGTTCGCTTTGCGCACCTTGAACCTCGTCTTCCCCAAGAACGAATTGAGTGTCATATCGGGTCGCACAGGGTCTGGGAAGAGCTTGCTACTAGCCTCCATTATCGGTGAGGCAGAGGTTCTTGCGGGCGAAATCTTCGTCCCCAAACCACCGCCCGCTGACCAGCGATACGACTCGCTTGCAAACAGGAGTAACTGGGTAATTGAATCGTCTATCGCCTATGTCGCTCAAATACCCTGGATCGAGAACGCCACTATCCGAGACAACATCCTATTTGGACTTCCTCTGGACAACGACCGATACCAAAAGGTTTTGCATGCCTGTGCTCTGACAAAGGACTTGGAAATGCTGCCGGATGGGGAACTTACTGACATTGGTGCCAATGGCATCAATCTGAGCGGCGGGCAGAAATGGCGGGTCTCATTTGCTCGCGCCCTGTACTCGAGAGCTGGTATTATGGTGCTGGATGATATCTTTTCAGCAGTGGACGCCCATGTTGGTCGACATCTGTTCGAGCAAGCGCTCGTAGGAGAGCTGGGCCGGAATAGAACGAGAATACTGGTGACGCACCACGTCGCCCTGTGTCTCCCAAAAACAAACTACAGCGTCCTATTGTCCAACGGCACCGTTGAACAAGCAGGCAGAACGGAGGAATTGCGGCGTACTGGGAAACTCAAAACGATCCTCGCCGAGGAAGGCGAAGCAGACCGAAAGAAGGACGAGGAAGAAGATGCGGTCGAAAATCTCACCGTTGACGACGGCGGCGGCCTCCAGAAGTTGTTGACCAACCACTCACGCCGTTCGAGACGCAAATCTGCTCTTAGCGATGTGGGCGACAATCTGATGCGGCGTCCATCGCGCGCGAGTCTCAATGACGCGAAGCAGAGCCGCGACCCGCCAAAGAAGTTTACAGAAGAAGAGAAGCGAGAGACCGGTGCTGTGAAGTACAGGATCTACGCCGCCTATTTCAAGGCTTCTGGCGGGTTTGGTTATTGGTTGTTCATCCTCGCCGTCTTTGGTATTTGGGTAGCCGTCTACCTGGGCAGGTCGTACTGGATTAGTGTGTGGACGAGATCGTACCGCACGGAGACGGAGCATATCTTTCCCCAGAGGCTGGTTTCACAGTCTCTAAGTACCTTCTATCACCACCTCCACTCGGAATTCTCTACTGCGGCTATTGATGCGAACCTTCGATATTACTTGGGCGTCTACCTTGGTATCTCCCTTGTCGCCTGGCTGATTGGCACAATTCGCTACTTTCTCGTCTTTATAGCCTCAATCCGCGCCTCCAAGATCCTTTTTGAAGCACTCGCCTTCGCCGTTCTCCGCGCTCCTCTACGATGGCTTGATACCGTGCCAGTCGGACGTATCCTCAACCGCTTCACTTCCGACTTCAACATGCTCGATTCGCGCATAGCTATGGATTTGGCGTTTATGCTCCACAACATGATGCACGTTTTGTCAGTCGTGATTGCAGGACTATTCGTGTCGCCGTTCATGATCGTCTTTGCCGTCGGACTGCTTTCGATCTCCATGTATTACGCACTGCGTTATCTCGCTGGTGCACGGGAGGTGAAGAGATTGGAGAGCAATGCCAAGTCTCCCGTCTTTGAGCAATTTGGCTCGGTGCTCATGGGCATTGGAACAATCCGTGCATTTGACAAGTCTGACACATACCTCGACAAGATGTACACCAAAATTGACCGACATTGTCGCGCGTACTGGCATCTGTGGCTGTTCAATCGCTGGATGGGGTGGCGGTTGAACATGGTTGGTGCCTTATTCGCAGCTATCACGGCAGCCCTTATTGTGTCCATCACGAGCATTGACTCCAGTCTTGCCGGATTTGCCCTGAGTTTCGCACTCGGAATGAGCGAAGGTGTGATCTGGTTCCTGCGACAGTACTCGAACGTGGAGTTGGACATGAACGCCACCGAGAGAATTGTGGAGTATAGCAACATTACTACCGAGAGTCAAGGTGGCGTGGACGCACCAGCGGCGTGGCCCACCGAGGGCAATCTCGAGGTCAGCGATTTGGTAGTTGGCTACGCGCCTGACCTGCCACCAGTATTGAAAGGGTTGACATTTAGAGTGACCAAAAATCAGCGAGTAGGCGTTGTCGGACGCACGGGCGCGGGAAAATCTTCGCTCACACTTGCCTTGTTCCGATTCCTCGAGGCCCGAAGCGGGAGCATCTTCATTGACGGAATAGACATCTCCAAGATCAAGCTGTACGATTTGCGTTCGAGGCTGGCGATCATTCCACAAGACCCAGTCCTCTTTTCGGGGACGGTCAGGAGCAACCTCGACCCGTTCGAGCAACAAACAGATAAGGAGCTGAAAGATGCCCTGGCGCGGGTGCATTTGATTTCGTCCACCACGGCTTCATCATCGGCTGTGGCTAGTGGAAGTGTTACACCCATCTTAGATCAGCACGACGCCGAGGAGGGAGGGCAAACCAACACCAATATCTTCCGCAGCCTCTCGTCTAAGATCTCCGAAGGTGGCTTAAACCTCTCCCAGGGACAACGACAACTTCTCTGTCTCGCCCGGGCGATCGTCTCTCGACCCAAAATCATGGTCTTGGACGAGGCAACGTCGGCGGTGGACATGGAGACGGACGCCCTGATCCAGCGCAGCATCCGCGAGGAGTTTACGGACAGCACGTTGATCGTGATTGCGCACAGGCTGAGCACGATTGCAGACTTTGACAAGATCCTGGTCATGGGAGAAGGAAAGGTGCTCGAGTTTGACGGTCCCCGGGAGTTGATGGGCAAGAAAGGAGGCGTGTTTAGAGGCATGGTCGAGATGAGTGGTGAAAGGGCGGAGCTAGAGAGGATCATGGGGATTGGTGGTGGCGGCGCGAAAGGGCAAGATCTGCAACCCGAGCCAGAGCAGGAGCAAGAAGATCATCGAGCAGTCACAGGAGGAGGAAATCCTGCTCCCCATTCTAGCGACACCACCACCACCACCACCACCACCACCACCAACAAGCCAAGCACCAGCGGTACGAAGAAGAACGACCAGGAGGACGACGACAACCCAGAGCATGGATGGGGAATTTAACCCCGAAACCAGCATTCACCCAACATCACGACCACCAACCCAAAAGTTACAGCAAGGGAATGAGGTAGATACAGGTACCTAAGGTAGGTATGTCTGTTGACGGAAGGAAAAAAAAAGGGGGGGGGGGGGGGAAATTGTCCCAAAAGTAAGCCCTCAGAAGTGGAATGCTTTTTCTGTGAGCACCGAGTGAGTAATCATGAGTACATAGTAGACTAAAAGGATTTCGAAAAATTGGCATGTTAAAGGCGAGGCACGATATGGCGCGGCATGGTCTGGTCCGGTCTGGTCTGGCGTGGCTGGGATATGGAGTTACCGTTAGTTCTGAATGATGACAACGGTATGAATTGTATGAATCATACAATATGATATCGACCTAGTATGATGCTTTCTGAGTATGAGTTATATTATATGTTATGTGACCTGGCAGAAGCCATCCATCTATCTACGCACCGCACCGCAACAGTATTCTGGTTTGGGATTCGTCCGTTCCTATTGCGGAAGGAATCCCTTTCCCTTTCCATTTCCAGTCCGTCTCTACACAGCGACAACGGCTATTGATTGGCGAGGTGATGACTTTTTCCACTTCGAGGCCAAGCGCCGCCAGCTAGGTAAGGGGGAAAACAGAAATACCTCCGGAAAAGCGGCATGGTAAGGGTATAAGTTCGCTTTAGCGAGAAGTGGTTTGGTTCGTGGGAGGCGCGGTTGTGGCTTCCGAAACGGGGAATAGGGTCAGAGAGCAGAAATCACAGATCAGAGACCAGAGGTCAAGGCTGCGCATACGCATATCACTCACTCATTCACATACTCCTAAACAAGCGACGAGAGAGTCCTGGTGCACTCGTGCAGGGAGGGGAGATAGCTAGTGGGAGGGAAAGCAAAGCAGTGGAGAGCCATAGGGGCGGTGTAAACAATCCATCGAAAGAGGGAGGTTGTTCAGAAGGAGGGGCAGAAGCGGAGAGATAAGAGTCTTCCAGGACAGGCGTTGAGCCCGAGCAAGTGAGAAACGGGTGTGGTTGATATCAAGTCGTTCGTTCCTTGTCTTGGAAGCGCACCGGAATAGAATAGAACGCCTTCGAATTTGAGGAAACTGTTGGAAAAGAGGCATCCAAACAAGACATTCCAGAAGGGAAGGCATAGAGAATGAGGAATGCGTACCGAAAAGAGCAAGAAATAAGAAACGAAGAGCCATATTGGACGACAGATGGCAAACTGAAAGGGAAGGCGTCCATGAGAGGAAGCCGCAACAAGTTGTTTTTGCGTAAAGATGAACCCAAAACAAACGATTTAGGCCTCTGATGTATGGGGAAAGCTTGGATAAAAGAGGCAGGCGTGCCGTGAGAGGTAGGCGTATAGGTGAGAGCGCACACAAAAGACGAGTGTCCGGAGGTTGTAGAATGGAATGATTGAACTTTGTATAGCATGTCAAAACAGGAAGCCGTCCGAGACAGGAAAGTGCCTGGATAAATGGTGGATGCATGTATAACCCTAGCCGCGACAGTTGTGGCTCAATCTCGTCGTGTCATCATTCGAATCAGAATGGGGGCGAGCACCCTAACCATCTCTTGGATGGACCACGATCTGCATGTTATATAGGTCCAATGGCATGTCGTGGAAGATCAGTGCAACACCCTTAGCCCGGAAGGAGGTCCCACAGCAAGGCTGGGTATCACGTGATAATCTGTATAATCCGGTTTGTTCCTGACAAAGCAAAGCCGGAGCCTGGTGTTGGGTGGGTGTGGTGCCAGTACTCGGTGCTTGTAGGTCCACCGCGCCATCAGCAATCTGCATCTGTTCCTTCTTGGTGCCTTTACTCCGCCCTTTCTGGCGCCAGCGGACCAATAGCAGAAAGAGCATTTCCCAGAGGAGCCGCTACACCAGGGCGAAAAGAGCATAGACGTTGCCCACCGTAGACTGTGGCTGCAAGTGTACCCTGCGCCACATAGGGTTGAAAGCAGATACTCCCGCAGTCTCTATCCGCACGAGAAGGGGACTTCAACCCCGTGTTATCCTGAGACAATTCTGGGAGGCAGGCTTGAATTCTCTAAAGGGGTGCTCGGTGGTGTCACAGAATGTTAGCTGGCCGGTTCTCTGTAACCAGCATGTGGTGCTGGCTGCCTGGGGTCGCGAGCTGGAGCTGGGGCTGGAGCTGATGACACCGACATCGTAAAGTCGTAGGGTGCCATACCCCGATTGGCTCAGCCTTCTAAGTCCACAAGTCAGACTCATTGACGCCGATAACAAATGTGGCTATAGTTCATCCTTACTTGTAAACTCGTCATGTCTTTTGTCATACTTAGCTGCTGCCGAGTCTCCGAAGAAGCCCTCCAGCTCCATATATTCGGCGGCAAACACTGTAGTAAGGAGAGCCCAGTCTTCCACCGTGGGGATGTCTAGATGCGCGCCATCGTCCTTCATCGTGTGCCAGACGGAAGGAAACCGAGCGGGGATGAGGTGCAAGACTTGGACACCCCGAGCGATGAAAGGGATATGATCGTCTTGCATAATATAGCTGTCGAATCTATCGGTCTCCTTCTTATCCTTTTCGGGCAGCCACGTCCGCGATGGGTTACTCCGGAACATGCCCAACTTGCGAAGTCGTTGCTCGGCCTCGGCCATTTTCACATATGACCAATGAGAGGTGTGTTGCCAGGAGGGAATTGGACGGTCTTCTGAGGACCCGAGAAGATCGAGCAGCACAAACAGTTCGATAGAGTCGAGGTAGTTTTTGTAGACACTCGTGGCTGGGTGCATGGTGTGCTCCCACTCCTCGGCAAGCGACCTGGCTCCATATATACTGTCGGTCGCAGTCCAGCTGAGAAAAGCCTCCTCGCCGTCGAGAAATAGGACTTGGATTCCCCTCTGCTCCTCAAATTCAGGATCGGTAAACCCTTGCTCTTGCATCGTAGACCACTTCTTGGCCAAAGCTGCGTCTATAGATCTGATGGCATGCATGATCATGGCGCACGGGGCCGCCGAATCGATCGCACCAATGAATCCTTTCGGCTCGTACTTGGAATCGTAATGCGCTACCAGGGTCAAGCGCCCGACATTGCCGGACTGCGTCCAAGGGGGGTCTCGAGTGGCAATCAAATTCACAAACGGCACCTCCTTGTCTCCGTGGGTGGGTGTCTTTGCGGTCGAATTCTGGAAGGTCAATGACCAATCTGGCAAAGAGGCGTGGAAGAAATCGACGAAATGCTGGAGGACCCTCTTGGAGCCCTCGGTGCCGGGGACTCGTGGAATCAATATAGGCGCAAGGAGATTTCCGGTGTGTATGTCGAAATCGCTGGTCTCTGGACGGGGAAGACCATGTTGCAGCGTCTCGTCAGAGAGCGGGACATACGCTAGAACCCCTGGCCAGAGAGATATCAGCGATATCACCGTCAAGAGCCTCGTCAGCACCCAGCACCGCATTTTGGCAGAAAAGTCGGAAGTGACGCGTTCATCCAGATGTGAACATGATATCTAGGAAGCATTGACGAGGGGCTCTTGGGTGGAAGAAGGGGACGGCGACTGGGCGAGATTGTCTTCAGTCCTCGGCGCAGTTTCCGTCGCAGGACGCGATGCGCGCATCTCCAACTTCAATGGATGGTTGCAACCGCGTGTCTCAAATTCTACACCAGTTATTACTGACCGCAGTCCGATACGATTGAGACAGATGAGGGGCTTGCCATCAGCTGTGGTGGCTGAACTCCGCTATGCCTTCCAATCCTGCTCCCGGCAATATGCTGCCTCGAGAAGGACTCAATTCAGCACTTTGCACCAAAGGCTAAAAAAATCCCAGCACCCAAAGAGCGAAAGTGTTCCAATTCAAGTTGTTCACAGTCAACTGCAGGCTCAAAAACCGAACCTTGCTCGACCGTTGATACCTCCAGCCCCGCGCGCGTCAGAAAATAAGCAACTCATACCCCAGGAAGAGCAGGAAAAGTCCCTCGACACAGGCCGCGATGTTGAGGTTCCCTTCAAGGTTATTCCAAAGGCCGAGATCGCTCCAAACTTGACCCTGTCACCCAAAGAACGGCTCCATATCGAGCAGTTGACGAGGAGATTACCCCCTCGACCTGAACCAAAGGGTGCGCTGTTCGTACAACTTTCCGCGGCGAGCACATACACTGACATGTACAGTGTATAAGAAGAGATTGCGCATATACACTGCCGGCAATGGGAGGATATATATGCTCACATTCCTTCGGTTCACCACGATTGCGGCCCTGACGTTTGTCACCGTCATAGTGGCTCCGGCGCACTGGGTTAGTGGGAGCTCATTATGGACTGTAGCTGGCAGTGAGTGTTCCCTCATCGTGTCCTGTCAGCCCGCTGATCTTGAATCGCAGTATGGTTTGCGGGCCTCTTGCCCTTCATCTTTGTGAACTGGACGCTGAGACCAATGGTGACGGAGATCTTCCTTCGGCTTCCAGCGTCGGCTCAGACGTCTCCCAAAGTAGCGATGGCTTATGCGAAAAGCCTGCCAGGAGATGCCACACTTGATCTGAGATTTATGCGGTCATTCACCATCACTGATGTGGTGACATTGAGAATTGCCGACACGAGACCGATCAAAAGCCTCTTTCGGCCTGTTAGCTTTGCGTGGATTGGACCGATGGTGCAGCGTGGTAACTTTCTGAGACCGAATCCGACGCAATTCTATGTACGGCCTGAGTCGGCGGGTGGACGAGCAGCAAGAGATGTCATTCCGGGGATCTGGAGCAAAGTGTACGAACGACTTACTGGGGTTGAAAGCAATGCCGTATCCAAATGGCGGCGATGATTGAAATCAGAGTCAATTCTGGCACTTTTTGAACCTCACTTCACATCTCAACTTCTCACTCAACTGTGTCTGAAACAAAAACGTCTGGCAGAATCGAGCATTCACTGGCATGATATTCCCCTTGCCAAGTCCAACAGTCACTCTTGTGTGTCTTTTCCGTAAATCTCACTTGCTCCCATCCTCAACTTTGACTATCTTTCTCAACTCTCAAACCAAACGCATCTTCCTCTTCGTCAACATTTCATCCCCCGTACCTTGCACAAGCCGACCTACCACATTCAGCCTCGATACATTGCCATCAAGCTCTACCGACCATGGCAGACGCTACTACGACCAAAGCTCCAGGTGGTTTGACTCCTCGTGAAGGAGAAGTCGCTCTTGCTGCTCTTCAGTGTGTCAAAGGTGGTGATATTCAGGTAAGTCTAGCCCTGATTCTCAAGTGCAATGACCATCAGCCAGATCGCCGCCGCTACGGCCACTGAAGAGATGTCTTACGATTCTTTCCCGCTGACACAGTCCTTTTCAGATCGACTATGCCGCACTTTGCGACCGTCTTGGTTTCAAAAACGAGGCTTCAGCGAGGACCGCCTGGTGCGTAGTCAGGAGGAAGCTCTTCACTGACACGAAGTCATCCACCGATGAACCGGGCACGCCAAAGGCCAAAACACCTCGCAAAGCCAAAGACTCGAATGTCGCTACACCAAAGCCAGCTCCAAAGGCTTGTGCTGGAGCCGCCGCCGACAAGGATGGTGGTGATCATGACAACGGTGACGATGAGAAGAGTGGCTCTGCTCCCGCTGTTGCCGCCGGCGACGCGAATCGATCTGAAGGTCAGTCTCAAACAAAACTCGCAACATGTACATGTTTAAGCCACGTTTTCTACGCATCTCATCGCTTTTATCACAGCCTCGCATACTGACGTTCTTGCTCCCTTAGAAGCCCCAACTACACCCAAGACTCCTACGACCCCCAAGAAGCGGTCCCGCAAGACTAAAGCAGAGAAAGAAGCCGAGGCCGCTGCCAACGGTGAGGCTGCTCCAGGCGACGGTGACGAGGACGAGAAGCCGCCGAAGAAGCGGAGAACTCCCGCCAAGAAGAAGGTGACCGAAAGTGAAAACAATGGTGAGATGGACGGCGACACTAAAGCTACTCCTGCCAAAGGGAAGAAAGCTTCCACTCCCCGCAAATCTGCCACTGCTGCCGCCGACAAAGTCACCGATGCAGCTGGTCCTGGAGAGGAAGAAATTGCAGCTGTAAAAGTTGCCACCCCGATCAAGAAGAAGGATGGTGTCTCAGACGAGCCAGAGGCGTCCCGTACTGCCGTTTCCACTGGGTTCGTTTCCTCCCCTAGCCCTTTTTGCTCGTGTGCTAACACCATCCCATTTTCAAGTGCCAGTGCCTCCAAAGTGATGAATGCCGATGTCAACGGAAGTGTTGGCGACACAGCGAGCGCAGCTGTCGAATCCGTTGCGGCCAAAGCCACTGAAGTCCTGGCGAGGGCGGCTGGCGCTAATTGATCTCATCCCTACCTCCAGGGTTTTTTGGGTGGCCGGCACGACCTGTACAACGAGGAACATTGCAACTTTCAGCGCCATGTGCCGAGTTACATTTCATGAGGCGAGATACACAGTGACAACGGGAAGAGAGAAGGGAGCAAACTGGAGCTCTTGGCTGCAAAAGCAATTGGAGGAGATCCATCTGGCGGAAGACATGGGCAGGAAACATGACGAAGTGGGACTCACTCACATGTGCGCAATCTGCACAGTTGACGTGAGGCGTGAAGGAATCCATGCGGTGAAAGTTTTGCTGAGAGCTTGCGAAAGTGCCGAGATCGAGGCCGGCGAGACGTGGTGCTGGATGAACACGAGAGAGGGAGTGTCTGTCTTGGACATGACAGAGAGGCAGGGAAATGGAATGAAGTTCAGGTTATCAACTCAACTCAACTCAATACAACTCGGCTCCCACCATCAACCGGGCCTGGTCGAGTAAGTTAGGAATGGACAATTCAATCTTCTCTCTGCGTTGTTCTCGTCCGCTCCCTCTGCGTACCTAGGTATATCTATGGCATCGTTGTCCACACCACCCCACACCATTCACTCATTCATCCGATTACACGTGATATTCAAGTAGCTTCAAGCACTCTTGACGTTCAATATCTCATGATCTTGAGTGAGCAACCAAGGATAAGCAAAGACAGCTTTCTTCCGACGGTATCCATTAATCGTACTCGTACCCGTCCGCACCTATACCCATCCCGAGGTCACTGCCTGGGATGGATAGATTGATAGATTGACAAATGGACAAGGATGACATACAGAATTGATTATTATTGTTGGATACCAGTTTCCCGCAAAAGGTCAGACTCAGATCTACCATACGTACCGAGCACATGGTAAATACCTGGTAGATGGATAGATCTCTTTTTGGTTCTCTTTTCTTCTCTGTTTCAGACTCCTCTTGCTACCCACCCACAAACTCCCCGTATAGTGAATATCGAGGAAACCCGCCTGCTTCGGCCGTGGTGGCAAAAGACCACGGAACAAACTTTATGTAATAACACATGGCGAGGAGGAATGACTGATAAAAAACAGACAATCATGGCTTTAAACCTCATCGCTCACACAAAACATGCGACAGAACCAGGACACCGCTCACAAAGCTTCAATGCACTTGACAAGCACGTCGAGGCCGCGATCTTCCACTTCTTTCCCCTTGAGGATCCATGCGAGATCACTCAAGATGCCCAATGGCACTTCTTTCTCCTCGTCCTTGTCGTTCGCCTCCTTGGCCTGCATCTCACCACTGTGAGAGCTCTTGGTCCTCTGCTTTCGTGCCATGAGGTTGGAAATCTCCCACTCCTTTGCCGCCTCCTCTGCGCGTTCAATGACTTGGTTCGAGATCCCACACATGCTGGCGCAGTGCATACCGAAAGACCCCTCGGCGGTGCCCTCCTCCAGTTTGTATAGGAATGTCACTCGCCTGTCTGCATCGTCCACGAGGATCTTCATTCTCTTCGGCGCTATTTCTGGATGATGCGCAAACTCCGAAGAGAGCGAGTGGTAATGCGTCGCGAAGAAGCCCAAGCAGCCCACATGTGTGGCTAGATGGTGCAGGACGGCTTGGGCGACGGCCACGCCATCGTGCGAAGACGTTCCTCTTCCCAGCTCGTCCAGGATGACCAGGCTACGTGGTGTGGCCTCGCTCAGAATCTTCTTTGTCTCTGCCAGTTCGACAAAAAATGTTGACTGGGCGGCAAAAATGTGATCCTGAGCCCCCAGGCGCGACATGATTCGGTCAAACGGTGTAAGACGAGCAGACGCGCAGGGGAGGTAGCAGCCGATCTGAGCCATGATAACCGCGATACAGGTCATTCGGAGGACCGTGGATTTTCCGGCGGCATTTGCACCCGTGAGAAGGGTCAGATTTTGCGAGCTTCCGCCCAAAACAATGTCGTTGGGGATGAAGTCGTCAACCTTGGTCAGAAGACATGGGTGGCGTAGATCAATGAGTTCCAAGGTCGACCGACCACCGGCATCCTTGCCAGATGGGTCAACGAATTCTGGACGACAGCTCGGGTGTCCCAAAGATGTGCTTGCTTTCGCAAGGGAAATCAAACAGTCTAGTTGCGCGATGATCTTGACTGCCGCGAGCCATATATCGTAATGTTCGTCGAACTTGGCGTAAAGTTTGAGCGACACATCCTTGACGATCTGAGAGTGTGTCTCTTGTGCTTCTTGGAGTTTCCGCACGAGATTCCGCAGTTCTGGGAAGTAGTATCTTTTGACGCTCGCGGTGGCGGACATCTGGTCCCAAGCGGCGGGCACCTTGATGCGAGTAGGCACTTCCATTTGCATTATTTCCTTGCCGTTGTCGCGGAAGCAGATAGCATTGGACTTGAGCTCTTTGCGCCACTTGCGGAGAAGTTCATCAAATTTTTCGTTGATGGCATCAATCGTGTCCTGGGAGTTGTCGAACTCTTCTTCGATGCCACGTTCGGGCACTAAGACGCCAGACTCCTTAGCCTTCTGGCGGTCAAAGGCATTGTCCCAATACTTGAGACGGGGTTCGAGATCCGGCATAGCTGAAATCAATTGGCCGATGACACCTTCGCTGTCCGTTGCTTTACCAGTGCCGTCGCGCAATAAGGACATAGTGTGGTCAATCTGCTCGAATCCCTCAAGAACTCTGACAAAGTCCTGAACTTTGCAGGTTCCTGCGTGGACACGCGATATCAATCGCTCGAGGTCCGGCATCTTTGTCATTTGGGAAGTGAAACGATCCCGGACTTTCGCATCGGCGTTGAGAGAGTCGACAGCATCCAGCCGCGCATTGATCTTCTTCGTGTCCATGAGTGGATGGCACACCCATTGTTTGAATAAGCGTTTGCCGAACGGCGTGACACAGCGGTTCAATAGCTGGAAGAGCGTGCCTTCACTTCCACCGTCGTAGGAGTTGGCAAAGACTTCCAGGTTGATCAAGGTCTGACCATCGAGGACCAAGCTCGTGGCTTTGCGAATAGGATCGTACCATGTAAAGTTACCGATCGTCACGAGACCACGCTCAATCTTCAAAGCCCTCAGATACTGGATCAAAGCACCAAGAGCAGACATGAGTAAATCCTTCTCTTTCGCCTGCTGCAGAACTTGAGGCCACTCGTTGGGAAAGTAGTTCTCTGCTTCAATTTCCTTGGCAGTGATGTGGCCTTCCCAGAATTCCTTGCCAGGTTTCAAGTAGTTCCAGATAGTAGTTGGGCTGGTGTTGTTCTTGAGGATGCGCAATGTCTTCATTGACACACCGCCCTTTTCCAGCAGAATCTCTTGAGGTCTGGTCTGGGCGATGAATGTCTCGAACTTGGTCAGGTCCGCATCGTCGACAAATTCAGAGATGTGGAACTGGCCGGTGGCAGTGTCCACAAATGCCACACCAAATGCTGGCAGATCCTCGACCTCGGATTCCTTGATTGCTACACAGTACGTCGACATGTCGTCCTGGAGCATAGTGCCGTCGACCAGTGTACCTGCAGTGAGCACACAGGCTAGTTCTCTCTTGATGACTTTGTCCTCTTTGCTCTTCTTGCTGGCAAATCCACTAGACTTTTCATCCCGCTCACGCATGTCTTTGCCCAGAGCAGTCTCCTGCTGGTCCACGCGGGCAATCTTAAACCCCTTTGCGACGAATTGATTCGCCCAGAGGTCTAAGCTCGACTCTGGAACGCCCACCATTCTCATGTTCACACGGTCAGTCAATTTCAAATCGAACAATTGATGCCCGATGGTCGCATCGTTTTCGTAGAGCTCGTAGAATTTGCCTTTCTTGAAGAAGACAATAGTATCCCAGAACTTCTGCTTGATTTCCCAGTACTGCTTCTCAAAAGGCGAGAAAGCCCTCCAGGCCATGGGCGGAATATACAAGGTGCGTGGATCGTAGTCAGGATGGCCCGGTGGATTGCGGTCCATATCCCTGATATCCTCAAGCCAGGCGTGGCGCTTTTCCGGCTCGGTCATGTGGGCTTTCTGTTTCCTCCCGCTGGGTTGTTTAGGTGGAATGTTGGTCGGCCGTGGCTGCAAAGGCTGAGGATGCTCAGGGTCGTACGCCCACTGCAGAGCAGTCGAAGTGCCCTCGGGGATTTCTTGGTCGACATCGACCTCAACTTCATCCGTTGCAGGAGTGAAGTGAGAGGAAGCAGTTCGGGAGGTATTTTTGGCGGTCCGCTTGCGCTTCACAGGGCGACGTACTTCGTCTTCAGAGTCATCAGGTACAATAAAGTCATCCATTTCTGCACAGTTAGCACGAAACCAATCAGATTGAGATAAGGTATGTACCATCTTCCGGCTGCGCTTCATTTTCTTGCTCATAGACGTCCTCGTCCGCACTATCGGAGGGTCGCTTGCGTTTAGTAGATCGAGCCCGGCGTCCTGGGGTCGGCTTGAAAACATCGTCACCGTCGGTGCCTTCGCTGTCGGACTCGAGATAGTTGATCTTCCTGGTTTTGGCCTATTGACCTCAGCGGTTAGTTCAACGCAGTCACTGAAGGGCGTGGTTTCTTACCCTGCGCGAAGGTGTCCCACGGGCTGTCAACTCCTCTCTGCCATTAGTCTGCTCATCGTCAGCTGAGACTGGCGATGGCAGACCTTTGGAAAGAGGCAGACTCGCCTTAGGGGTGTCGTCCTCATCTTCAGGTTCGACCGCGTCACTGCTGGCAACAGGCGTCAGAGCAGCTGACGATTTGCCGACCGGTTTCGTGCGAGTCTTGGATGGAACAGGCGTATCAGACACTGATCGAGCAGGCAATGCGGCTGGAGAGCCAGTGGAGGGAGTCTTTTGGAAGAAGCCAAAGAGGGTCTTCTGTCCACCCGTAGAAGAGGATTTCTTCAATGCGGGGGTGGAAGCAGGGGTAGAGACAGTCTTCTTTGGCATGTTTCGGAGGCAATGAGACCATTCAGGCCTCTATACCAGAGAGAAAAAGATAGTATTAGTTACTGAGCGGATTGATCAAGTCCTGAGAAACACGAAAATG